TAACGTGCAACCATCACTCCAAAGGACGACAACAACAACAACATGTGAGCCACAAACAAAAATACTCCAAAGAGCAAGTCTGCCTCGCAGGCTTCAGGAGTATAAATAGTCTACATGTATGTGTCCCAGTGACCTACTTTACTGGGACCCTCTCTCGCATGCAACTGGGCTCTTTAATCCTATGCTGCTGCCGCTGCATGAATCCTCCAGCACCAGACACCACGTCACTGTGCCGCCAATCGCCACCTCCCAACCCCATGCTGGGATGAAGCCCCGGCAGAGCATCATCAGGTCGCTGCACAGACTTATAGCAATCAAACAGCCAAGTGTTGAGGAGACACGTGTTTACTTGTCCCAGTTAATTTCTCTAAATCTGAGGGGGTGGCTTTACAAAGTTTGCTGCAAAAGGGTGAAAAAACACACAAATTAAAGCCAAAAGGCGACACTTGAACTTGGGGTCACTGGTCACTTCTGTTTCATTGTGATTTAAACGGATCTAATACATGATGAAGATGTCAGAAAATGCCACAACTACTTCACATGGATTAAGAAAAAATATGAAGCATCTGACATAAAAGTAATTAGTAGGGACATTTTCAAGCAAAGATGAAAAAAAAACACTGCACTGTTGAATTCCAACAAGAGGAGGTGTTTCATCAGTGGTAAATTATTTTACACTGAATCTGTCTGTCCTGTGTTTGGACTGCAAAGCTCCTGTTTTCTAACATTTAAAATACTCCAACTAGAAAATGGTCAACAGATTAAATCAATAACGAAAAGAATGGACAGCTGCAGCCACATATGCAAATCTGCAATGAATTAATCGCAAATCCAACACAAGATTTTGTCCACCCCTGTTGCTGTTAACATGAGAAACATCTGGACAAAGGACCCTGAAGTGGACTCAACAGCTCCCCAAAGGAGCGTAAACAAAAGCTGAACTTAATGATCTGACTCAAAGCAGAATTTTCTGTTTCATTACCAGTAAACCCAATAAACTATCATCACATTTCAAACTTAAACTAGCTTATCAAGAGTATGTTTAAATGCATCCGGAGAAAATGCGAGTAGTTACCTACGCAGAAGCGGAAAGAAAGGCCACCTATCGTCCAGCTGCCGCTTCAACACAATACCAGCTAACTTTAGCAACACCTTCTGCTGTTTGTTATGAGCCACACAGCTAACTAGCCATAGCTAGATGGCTAGCTGGCTGATAACAGCTAGCTAAACAACAACCAGCTAACTAGCCTAGCATCGGAACACCGACACGGTTACTCACAGCAGTTGGTCTGTTCACCGGCACAGTGACACCGGTACCGCTCACATTTACGAGGCTACCGACAGACAAAAACACGGCAGTTAAAACTGTTTGTTACCTTTGTTGGAGGCGGACTTTCGGGCACCGACTCCGACAGGCGCGTTCGTCTCGGTGTGTCTTTGTTGGGCCGTCGGCGGATGGTCCTCGGCGTCTCGGAGCAGGGGGTCAGGGTTTTCTGAGACCTGAGTCTCATTTTTCTTTCTCATATAGGACTAGTAAACATCTAAACTCCAACTCCTCAGCTGTGATGAAGGTGGTCACCTCTTGATCGAATCGCTTACTTTTCTTCCCACCCCCCTCCCAGCAGACTGTGGCCGAGGCTCGCTGTAGCTCCGCCCCGCTCAGCGCAGCGCCTTCTCGAATCAGCGAGTGGGTTTAAATCTGCCGGGGAGCGATAGGTTCACTGTAGCGGGCACTCTCATTGGGCGGTGCTTCCACAAATCCAGCTCCAACGTGAGAAGCGGGTCACGTTGCACAGTTGCATACTCTCCGTGTGTGGGTCAAGTAATGAATTAGAGGGCAGCAACATCTGGATCAACACAGTAACCGCATTTTAAACGTCGCCCTCTTTTACCTTTAGTTAGATGAGGATTGTTGATTTGCACACATAATGTAACACCAGCAGCAGCAGCGATAATAAAGGAGGAAAATGTACCACATATTACATACAATACTTATAAATGCTTATAAAGATAATAGACCTGTATTCAAAATGTCTCTGAAGTGGTGCACTGCACTGTAAAACACCCTGAAGGGAATTTAGTCAAATCAACTCGTCTTTTCTTGTGTACTTATATAAGTAAATATGTGGGTTTTGCTCATTTCTGGTTAATTGAGCTGAAAATTTCAAATTCTTATGTCAGACCACTTTAGAGCTTAATGACACATTCAAGCTTAAAATGATGAGTGACATGAATAAAGAGCTGAGAGTTGACTGACCCATTAGATTAAGCCTATAAACAGACTTCCCATGATGCATTGCCAGAGAGTCACAATTCTCCAGAGACACCTGTTTGTTGTCATTTGAGAAAACAGACATGATGAAACTTGCATTTTGTCTTTGTGAATTCATTAGGGTCCGAGCACTGCAGTGCGTAGGACCCTATTGGAACTGTTACGTCATTATTTCTTCGTCACAAAGAAACGTGTTTTTCAGGTCCTAAACGTGCTCGAAAACTCACAAAATTTGGCACACACATCAGACCCGGTGAAAAATTTTATGGTTAGTGGGAAATACACACCTCAATAGAAAACTGGCTCCACAGTGCCACCTAGAAAATTTCAACAGAGTCCCATCGGAAGCATGTCTGACCTAGACCTACGCAATTTGGTAGGTATATGGAGGAGGTCAGGACGAACAAACAAGTCAACAGTCAGCCTGTTGGCGGCCCTCCAAACCGCTCTGGCTGCAGCTTGCTCCTTCACTACTGAGGAGACACAATGAGGACTGAGGA